GTCTGTGGTTGAGTCAGGAAGGACATCCGGCGTAAAAATAATGTCCAAGTTTTAGCGAGAGAAAAATAGCCTATTTGCAGGATTGGCAACATGACGGCTCAGTGGTTAGCACTGTTGCCTCACAGCAAGAAGGTCCTGGGTTCAATCCCAGGTTGGATCCGGGGTCTTTCTGTATGGAGTTTGCATGTTCTTCTCGTGCTTGCGTGGGTTTTCTCCGGGTATTCTTGTTTCCTCCCACATAGAAAACATACGTGTTAGTCTGCCTTCAGGCCCAGACCTCGCGTGCAAAACAGATCTGTGATCTCAATGGGATTTGCCTGGTTAAATAAAGATTAATAAATCCTGCACACTAATTACAATTAGGAACCAGAGAAAGTCTTAAAATATTTTGAAACAATGGCTAAATTTTCAACAGATATAAACTTTATTCATTAAAGTTCAATAGTAATTTTAAACTTCTTGTTGTAACGATGTAAGCTGATAAAATGTCAGAGTTTTGCTGTGTGTAAAAGTGTAAAGATAAAGAGCAAAATACATGTTAAAGCTGCTGCCAGTGGCTCATAAGGGTTACCATGGAAACCACACTAATGTCTCTGACTCCCTGAAAGCAAACATTTTAAAAAAGTCAAAGAGAAAGGCAGACAGAAAAGCAGAATATAAAGTAACCCTCAAATGAACAGTCGCTGTGTTAAAAAAAAAAAAAAAAAAAAAAAAAAACTATAGGTTGTATTAAAAAGTTTCTTAACAGTTCAGGACAAAAGCATTAAGTCATCACAAAAATGTTTTATGTGTCAGTGTTTTTTTTTTTTTTTTTTGTAGGAGACAAAACGAATTGAAAGTACTCGTCAGTTTCAGTTTTGAGATCAATTCTGAGCTTTGATTCAGAAGTCACTGAGGGTTTGGATGTCTGTACTGTGGGAGAATGTGTGGTAACCAGTGGTGGGATGTAACTAAGTACAAATACTTTGTTATTGTACTTAAGTACATTTTTCATGTATCTTTATTTTACTTAAGTAGAGTTAAATGTGGGTACTTTATACTTTTACTCCACTACATTTTACATCAAGTATCTGTACTTTCTACTACACTAGATTTCTCTAACGCGTTGCATTACAAGTTACATTCACACATTTTGTGAAAATTGTTCACATATGTTTGGTGAATTTTTGTCTACACTGTATACAACAACCAAAACACAGCAACCGAGTTTGAGTGAGTTTTATCCGAAGCTGAAAAAGAAGCGGCAAGAGGAAGCAGAGGACAGAGAGCGATGGAGATGGATGACTCGCTGTGGCGACCCCGGAAGAGGGAGCAGCCGAAAGAAGAAGAATAAGAAGCTGCAAATCACAAACTGTGAAGAAAACAAGGGCAAATAAATGAACTTTTACTAATGTTTCTTCTTTCCCCCCACTCCTAAACTGACGTCAAGTCTCCATCTAGGTGTGTTTTATTCACACCACTGTCCGCACACACTCAGTTTGTCTTAAAAACATAATCACATGTTTTAAGGGGAGGTAGAGTGATCCTGACTGGCAGGCCTCTCGTAGCTTTCATCCATCTTCTGACAAAAATCTGAAAGTAAGGGGGGGTCACTTTGAAAGTCTGTGTGAGTGTGGACGGAGGCTGCGGTTTCCACAAGACAAAAGTCTCACCTCGCACCTGCCACTTATCTGAATGTAGCTCCCGACTCTCGTCCTAAAGGGAGAGGACAACGGACTACAAAGGCCCCTCAGCTGAGACACAGACGGAGACTTTAAAGGAGAGCGCCTCGGGCTGCTCGTGTACGAGTGCGTGTACGTTCATGCGAGCGTTAATGTGAGTCTTCCACATCTGCAGCTGAAGGTGATTCTGGGGTTTGATAGCTCGCACGTCTCTGCGTCGGCCGCTGCAGCTCCCGGCGCCGAAATAAACCCTAATGTACCTGGATTCATCATCACAAGGAGCGAGGGAAAAGACATCTGATTTAAAAAAAATATATATAATTTAATAAATAAAACAGCCTGCTAATGGGCTAAATGGATGAATAAAAAAATAAATAAAGGCTCCATTTTTACTTACTAGGTCATAAATAATGAGAACTGGCAGACAGACACTTTTTCATAGAATTTCTTTTATATATTTTAGAGCTTTGTTTGCCATTTTTGAAAAAAAAAAAAAAACATGTTAATGACTTTAATATTTCACATTTATTGATTTATAAGGTCATATAGACATAATTGTGTGGTGCATTATATCTATTTTTATTCACAGTTTGCACATTTGACAGATATCACTTTTTATTCTCAGCAGCAACATGAATTCATCAGTACTGCTGTTCGTGTTCTTAGTGTCTGCATTACGTAAACTCTACACCCGCGGTACTTTTCTGAAGGATCTAAGGTTCTTTGACTGTTTATTGTAATTTCACAGAGCTGGCAGTTTCTCTCTGCAGAGGCCAGAGCTGGACGAGTTGCAGAAACTCCAGTTAACACGGCAGGATGTGTTGAACAGTTCCTTTCCGGGACGAAGCGACGCTGAACTGAGAAGGTAAATATGTGACGCTGCGCGGTGGTTACGTGTTCCAGGGTGGGTTTACGCGTGCGAGCCCACTGGTCCAGGTGTTTTGATTATCTGAGCACTTTCAATTTGAAATTATCAGCGGGGAGGCTCCACGACGTTTCATGCTTTTGCAGCAATTACAATTTATTTTTTATTTTTTTTACTCGTATGACGGACGTTCAGAAAGAGACGTGGGGATAAAAAAAATTCTCCCACTGGGACTCGTACTGTATTTGACTGCCAGCACTAAATGCAGTACTCTATCTTAACATTCAAGCTTGGCTGCCTTTCATTGTGTCCTCTCACTAATTCATGCCCCCAATTTTGTTAGGGAAATTTACTTTTGATGGAACTCGGTGGTCAGAAAGAAATTGTGCGAGCAGTTCCATGGGAAAGAGAGAGAGAGAGTGAGAAAAGAGTTACAGTGCCAGGGGCTACTGCATTCCTGGAATGAAAATTCATAAATAATGCAAGGATGGATAACAAAAAGAACTCCCCCGCTGTCTCGCACAGCTATGCTCTATCCAAAGGCCATGCAATATCACTCAAATCTCAGAAAAAAAAAGACAAAAAAAAAAAAATGAAGAGGTAAAGAAAGAAAGATGTTAGACTTTTGTTGTTTTGAAACATAGGACGATGGGAGCAGCAGACAGCTGTGGCAAAACGCCAGCATCCTCCTCACAATCGGCACTCCGGGGTCTCAATTTTCAGAAAAGTTACAGGAGAATAATGATGTGACTGTGAGCCAAGAGCCCCCAAACACCACCCAAAACAAGCGCCATACGCACCACACACTAAAACAACATTAAGACCAAGAATTAAAAAGTGAGCGAAACATCTGAAGGAGAAAATGAGCCCAGTGTCGACCGCTGACCACGAACTCTTCCTGCTGAGGAGCGTGTCGGAGCATGTGGGACGTAAACTCCTGGATTCAGCTGACCCACGGCTCCTGCGGTTAGCTGACAGAAATCTGTTATCAGTGGCCTGTGGTGTAATTGCACAAGTGACATTTAAGTTCAAAAGCTCGTCCTCTCGTTGAGGCGCCGTCGTAATGTGTGCCCCGGAAATTGTTGCACTCGATCAAACCTGCAGGGCCTAAAATTAAAAATAAATAAAAAAAATGGAACGAATCAAACACTTACACCAGAACGACTTGCCATGTCAGCTTATAGAACAAGAGCAGGGCTCAGATTATCAAGCACTCCATGCATTTAAATCATCCTTTCAGCGAGCATATGAGGAGAAGGTGTGTGTTTAAGCTAACCTCCTCCACAAACGCCTCCTATTAATCATACAGAGAGGGGGCAGACTGGAGGATTTTTATCTTATACCAGTAAGGTACAAACCGAGATTTCTCCCCATCGCAGACAGGCCTGAAGAGTTAAAGTTCGTGTTTGGGATTAGATTAGAATTTGAGTTGGACAATCCAAAGTGTTCAAACAGCAAAACAATCTTCTGAATGATACAGGAGCAGCAGTGGCACAAACAAATGGTGCCTGAGTGGAAATTTACATTTTAAAACCAAATAGCCTATTTGCATTTCTTATTTAAATAAGACAGCCAAAGCTTGTATGGAACAGGTGGAGGAATGAGCTCTTTATTTGTTTATTATTTTTGTTTTTACACTTTATTCTTTTCTCATCTTTTAAATAATTTATTTGGAAGAGAAATTTTGACTCTGTTACTCTGACCCATTATTTATACTTCCACTGTGGACGGAGAGGTGTATGTGTGTGTGTGTTGGGGGGGGGGGGGGGGGGGGTGTTTCAAGCCTACCAGAGCAGATCCATGCTGGTGCACTTTGTGTTGCCCCCTCCATAATTATGATTTATTATATTGCGTTTGATTGATAATTGTTTGCCCCCGCATATTTAAAAGGTATGATTGTATTTATATATAGTGTAAGGAAATCAACATCTGTAGGTATACCCCCCCCCCCCCCCACACACACACACACACACACACACAAAAAAAGAATAAATAAAATAAAACAACTGGTACTTGGTGCTGATGATGGAGATGAAGTGGACGGAGCCAGAACAGAAGTGGAGCAGCAAAAACAACTCAAGGCTGTGGGTGCGTGCGTGCGAGTGTGTGCGTGAGGCAAAACAGAAACCAGCCTGCTGTTCCTCTCGCCTCCACGTGAACCGTCTCCCCTTCGTCCCTCACACTGACTGACTGTCAAAACGCGCACGCAGGTTTGTGGGAACAAGTCCCGCACTTCCATAACGAGACGCTGTGGTCTTTAGAAACCCGCGCACGCACACGCGCGCGTTCTGCCTCCGCGTGACAACACATCTACGTGCATATGCGCTCACATCAGAACAGCTGATAAGAACCATTTTCTGCACGTTGTGTCCAAGCATCTTACAGCCGAGCAGCATCCCCTGAAGGACCCCCCCCCCCCCCCCCCATCATCATCTTTTAAATAAAAAAAGGCACAAATTAAAGATGTCGCTCACCTTTCCGACGTAAAGCCATCATCCCTTTAGCCCCGTTCTGTAGCCTGTAATTGCTGGAGACTGGGCAATTCCCCCCACCCGGTAGTGACGGTGTTCCTGGTAAAATGCGCGGGGAGACCTCTGGCTCCGAGGCGGCGGTGCTGATGCTGATGCTGATGCTGATGCTGATGCTGAAGCTGATGCTGAGGATGAAGCTCTCAGATGCCGATAGAGGACGATGAAACGATTTGCGCGCAGAGGAATTAAGGGATCTCCTTTGCAGAGGCTGTGTGCGCCAACTCTCCTCTGCGTGTGCGTGTCAGTGTGTGTGTGTGTGATGGGACAGGGAGCTCGGCGCGGTGTGTTTAGCCGCGGTTGAACCCGATGCTGCTGTAAGTGCCGAGGCTCGGTGCTGACAGAAACAGACTGCACGGAGCGTACCACCGCACCGAGGAGGAGGGGGTGTGGCACGGAGCGGCCACAGACACAAACACGCGCACAGAAGCGTCAGGAGAGATGGGGAGGCGCGGGGGAGGGAGGAGGTCATCTGGAGCCGCCGGTTCGGCTCGTTCAGGTGCTACCATATGGATGCGCCGTGGTCCTGCGCGAGGATGCTGACTCATTATAACCAGTGGGGTGGAGAGGGTGGAGAGGGTGGAGAAGGGGGTTCTGACTGTAGCATCTCGCTTCATAAATAAACTAAAAATATATATTTTGCAAGAAACTGAAGCCACTGCCGGAAATGTAAACACATCAACTCTCTTCCCTAAAGCTCAATAATCCTGAGAATGTATTGGGCTCTTATTTGTAATGTTCTTAACTGGAAAAAATAAATTTAAAAAATGCGGATGTTTCAATGAATAAACTGTATGAGAAGTGCAAAAAGGAACCGAGATCAAAAGACATGTTTCAGCTGCTGCCAGAGGCTCATTAGTGTCACCATGGTAACAACATACATCTGAGTCTGTCAGTCCCTGACTGTGCTTTTTAAGGGCACTTTCACAAAACACTTCAAGTCTGGATTTCGATTTGGCCACCTCAGCAAAGTCGTGGGAACTTGTTTTAGTCATGCTGTGAACAGGGGCGTTATTAGGCATAAAGCCGAGGAACAGCACAGGGTAACAACATAAAACAGCCTGACTTCCACTTTGTAAGTAGCCGCATGCGTACCCTGTAAGTACCTCCCAGAGGAACTATGTAAATAACCCGTATGTACGTGTAATTACGTACCTTGTATCTCTAAACGTACACTTTAAATCTCCTGAAATTATGTTAGTACCCCTTTTCAAATCTTGCAAATGGTATGTAAATTCCCCATAAGTAACATTTAGGAATGTTTAACCCTGTACCTCAAAGAGTGTATGTCTATAAATGTGTGTAGCCCTATGAGTACCCCTTAAGAATCCTGTAAGTACCCTGCATGTGCCCTATTAAAGACCTTGTATATATACTCCCATTAGTACCCTGAAAGTATACTTTGATTACTTAAGTATCCTACACAAACTCCCATAAGTGTCCTATCAGTAGTTTCCTCCTGCACATCACCATTCCTTCCTCCTGTGTTCTCCCTCGTCTATCCACCTCAACACCATGTCCTTTATCCACCTCAACACCATGTCCTTTATCCACCTCACCATGTCCTTTATCCACCTCACCATGTCCTTTATCCACCTCAACACCATGTCCTTTATCCACCTCAACACCATGGGAAACAGAGCATTTTCCTACTCTGCTCCCCAGCTCTGGAGCTTTCTTCATGGACATCTACAATATTGACTTTCTTCCTCCATCTTCAAATCACAACTCAAAACTCAGCTGTTTGAGTCAGCCATCTCAGTAATTTATTGACCATTTCTCCTCGTTTTAATCTGTGCTCTTATGTTGTGATTCTGTACTGTATTGTTTTCACATTTCTTTAAGTGCCCTTGGGTGTTTTATGTCATGTTCCTGCTCCTCTTTGTCATCATGCTGTTTTTCTTCTGTCATTAGCCACACCCCCTCTGCACTTTCAGCTCATCAGCCCTGATTGCACTCACCTGTTCAGCTCATCTAGTTCACCTGCTCTGCACCCTTTATAAACTCCATTCTCCCTCTCCACCGGGGGTCAGTGGGGGCTGCTGATCATGACAAATATTTATTATTATTATTTATTTTTATTATCCTTTAAGTATTTTGAATGAAACAGAATAAATGTCCTTGAGCACTTTTAACTCAAACTTGAAAGAAGTTGAGGCTAACTCCATAACTTGTACCTTTTTTCTTATTTTTTTTCTATATATATATATATATATATATATATATATATATATATATTTAATGTGTGTAATGTTTCTCAATCTGTTATTTTAATGGTGTCTAGACTGTGACGTGGTGCTTGCTGTGCCCATCTTGGCCAAATCTTCTTTGAAAAAATTGGTTTTAAATCTCAATAGGACTTGAAAAAAATCCATCCATCCATCCATCCATCCATTATCTTTAACCGCTTCTTTCTTTTTGGGTCACAGGGGTCGCCGGTGCCCACGTCCAGCAGTCACTATGCAAGAGGTGGAGTACACCCTGGACAGGTCTCCAGTCCATCACAGGGACACATGGAGACAAATGAGACAAACAACCATTCACTCTCTCACTCACACCTAGAGACAATTTAGAGTTACCAATCAGTCTAACATGAATGTTTTTGGTCTGTGGGAGGAAATTTGAATGCCGGGAAATAACACACACCTGCACAGAGGGAACACACAAACTCCACCCAGGACCCCCAGACCGGGATTTGAACCGGCAACCTTCTCGCTGAGAAGCAGCAGCTCTACCAGTTGCACCACCATGCTGCCTTGACTTGGAAAAAATAATAATAATAAAAAAAATAAAAGTATCTCTGTAAGCACTTGATTGTCACTGTTTTACATTATTCTATGAGACCATGTTTGACCTCCATTCCAAAAGCCTTCTAATTAAAAAATATATGTTGTATGTGTTTGTTTGTAAAAGGCATTTTCAGAGAATGCAGGGTATGTTTATGGTAGAATCATCTTCTACTTTGTGACTATGCAGATATATGTTTCTGATCACGGATATTTACTGAGGCACTTCAGATCCATACAGCGACACATGCCCCGGTAAAATAGGTCAAGCAACAAGACTGAAGAAACGCACAATGCTGCGCAAAAATAAAATAAAACAAAAGCCTCCTCAATCCCACCGGCACGTCTTCCACTGAGGAAGCAGAGCCTGGGGACTCTGGGTTGGGCCCTCCAATCTCTGGTGCTGAGGTCACCGAGGTGGTTAAAAAGCTCCTCGGTGGCAGGGCCCCAGGGGTGGATGAGATCCGCCCAGAGTTCCTTAAGGCTCTGGATGTTGTAGGGTTGTGTTGGCTTACGCGACTCTGCAATGTTGCGTGGACATCGGGGGAAGTTCCCCTGGATTGGCAGACCGGGGTGGTGGTCCCCCTATTCAAAAAGGGGGACCGTAGAGTGTGTTCCAACTACAGGGGAATCACGCTCTTAAGCCTCCCTGGTAAGGTCTATTCGGGGGTTCTGGAGAGGAGGGTCCGTCGGATAGTCGAACCTCGGATTCAGGAGGAACAGTGCGGTTTTCGTCCTGGCCTTGGAACACTGGACCAGCTCTACACTCTCAGCAGGGTCCTGGAGGGTGCGTGGGAGTTTGCCCAACCGGTCTACATGTGCTTTGTGGACTTGGAGAAGGCGTTCGACCGCGTCCCTCGGGGGGCCCTGTGGGGGTACTCTGGGAGTATGGGGTACCAGGCCCTTTGATACGGGCTGTTAGGTCCCTGTATGACCAGTGTCAGAGCCTGGTCCGCATCGCCGGCAGTAAGTCGGGCTTGTTCCCGGTGAGAGTTGGACTCCGCCAAGGTTGCCCTTTGTCACCGATTCTGTTCATAACTTTTATGGACAGAATTTCTAGGCGCAGCCAAGGTGTTGAGGGGATCCGTTTTGGTGGCCTCAGAATTGCGTCTCTGCTTTTTGCAGATGATGTGGTCTTATTGGCTTCATCAGATCGTGATCTACAGCTTTCGCTGGAGCGGTTCGCAGCCGAATGCGATGCGGCCGGGATGAAGATCAGTTCCTCCAAATCCGAGGCCATGGTCTTGAGCCGGAAAAGGGTAGAGTGCCCTCTCTGGGTCAGGGAGGAGGTCCTACCCCAAGTGGAGGAGTTCAAGTATCTTGGGGTCTTGTTCACGAATGAGGGAAAAATGGAGCGTGAGATCGATAGGCGGATAGGTGCAGCGTCTGCAGTGAAGCGGGTGCTGTACAGGTCTGTCGTGGTGAAGAGAGAGCTGAGTCAAAAGGCGAAGCTCTCAATTTACCGATGGATCTACGTTCCCACCCTCATCTATGGTCACGAGCTTTGGGTTGTGACCGAAAGAAGGAGATCTCGGATACAAGCGGCCGAAATGAGTTTTCTCCGCAGGGTGTCTGGGCTCTCCCTTAGAGACAGGGTGAGAAGCTCGATCATCCGGGAGGGACTCGGAGTAGAGCCGCTGCTTCTCCACATCGAGAGGAGCCAGTTGAGGTGGCTTGGGCATCTGTTTAGGATGCCTTCTGGACGCCTCCCTGGTGAGGTGTTCCGGACACGTCCCACCGGAAGGAGGCCCAGGGGAAGACCCAGGACACGCTGGAGGGACTACGTTTCTCGGCTGACCTGGGAACGCCTCGGGATTCCCCCGGAGGAGCTGGCCCAAGTGGCTGGGGAGAGGGAAGTCTGGGCCTCCCTACTTAGGCTGCTACCCCCGCGACCCGACCCCGGATAAGCGGAAGAAAATGGATGGATGGATGGCAAAAGCATTTTGGGTCAATATGGTGAAAAATAAAATTGTTTGAAAGCACCATGCATTAAATAGTTGTTGTACCAGCTCACTATGGATGTGTTTGTGCCACCAAGAGATGTAACAGAACGGTCAACATAAGACACATGCTGAACTACTGTCAATGGGACCACCGCCACACGATTGAAAAGTCTAGTCAACACTAAACAGATCAACTACCACCAAGACAGTCATCATGATGAAGAACAACTTTGCATTTAGGTAAAGAAATGGTTGATCACAAAATGAAAAAATAAAAAATAAAACCTGCTAAACTGAGTTAATTTGTCAGGTTTTGAAAATGATGAGAGAGACGTTAGTCACACAATCGATGTACGGTGATCAAAGTGGCTACGTTTCACTCCATAGCTCTTTTGGTTCCACAGAGCTTCCCTTTTACTCAAGTCTCATCTCTATGATGGACTAGGCCGGCTCAGTTAGTGATTTGGTTTTAACAGCCATTTAATTAAACTGTTTGGTGCAAGTAACCAGGAACACAAACTGGAAAGTAAAAATAAATAAATAAATAAATGGGCAATATGGGAAAACTTTGCTTTATTGCATTTGAGCCGTAAGTGGCAACACATCTGATTGTCACACGTGTGTTTTTAAATGTCATACAGTGTTTTAT